GAGGCTAAAAGGGAGAAAGAAGTCTTTTTGCCAACAATAGGTACCGAGAGGTTTCGAAGGTTGCGGAGGCATTATTACCCACCTTTCAGCAGCCAAAATTCGCCTTTCGCACCCCACCATCAACCATAAGCGCACGAGAGCGGGTGACCAAGGGACCCACGAGATAAGTGGCAGACCAAGACGCCGGAAGTGGCTTTTTGGTAGCCAGAAAGGACGGCCCAGAGCCAGAGACCCCGATGGGCATAATCGTAGGGAGTGCAGACCGGATGCGACACGGAAATTGGACCGGCCAGCGTTGCAGGTCCCTTTCCAAAGTATCCTTAGACAAACAAGGACAGGTTTCAAGACGGAGCCAGTCTTGGGACAGCAGTCTGCGGACGGGTCTCGAGACAAAGCCAGTCTTGGGACAGCAGTTTGCGGACAGGTTTTAAATGGAGCCAGTCTTGGGACATACAGGTCTCAAGACAGAGCCAGTTTTGGGACAGCAGTTTGCGGACGGGTTTTAAAACAGAGCCAGTCTTGGGACAGACAGGTTTTAAGACAAAGCCCGGTCCCATGTTCGCGGACTGCTGTCCCAAAACTGGCTTTGTTTTAAAACCTGTTTGTCCCAAGACCGGCTTTGTCTTAAGACCCGTCCGCAGACTGCTGTCCCAAGACTGGCTCCATTTTAAAACCTGTCCGCAGACTGTTGTCCCGAGACTGGCTTTGTCTTAAGACCCGTTCGCAGACTGCTGTCCCAAGACTGGCTTTGTTTCGAGACCCGTCCGCAGACTGCTGTCCCAAGACTGGCTCTGTCTTGAGACCTGTCCCTGTCTTAAAATTGTTTGTCTTAAGACAAATCGGCCAGTCTTCAGACCTATCCGGGTCGAAAACTAGAAACTTCTCCTGTTTTAGGACCTGTCTTGAGACTCTTGTCTTAAAACTGGCCGGTCTTCGGACCTGTCTTCAGACTCTTGTCTTGCCGATCTAGGCCGAAAGGATCGAGTCTTAGGACAAACAGTCTTAGGACAAGCGCGGTCTTAGGACAAATGTAGTCTTAGGACGAAAGTAGGCTTACCACTTCTGTCCCAGGACCATTTTTGTCCGAAGGCCAATTCTGTCCCAAGAGCAATTTTGTCCCAGTCCGCGACCGCACTCGCACTGGTCGGTGTCGGCTTTGTTGGTGGGTCTAAGACTACTTTCGCCAAGCCTGTTCCTATTTGCGTCCCAGAAACCACTTCTGTCCCAGGACTAGGATAAAAGTACCAGGATACAGCATTTATGTCACGGCCACTAGGGCTTCCAAAGATAGAGGAGGGTCACGGGCCAGAGGCCCGCCACACCCTTATCAGACCGATTGTGATAGGCTGGCCTAAAGGAGATCGCTGTAGGGAGCCTAAAAGGTGGGATGAATCAACTACCAAAGGAAGGGATCTAACTGACAGGATTCTCGAGGCCTGTCGGGAGCTATATACAAGTCACAAGGCCAAGCCTTGGTGCCAGGGTAGGGCCACAGCCCTAACCTATAACACCGATAAAGGCAGGCTCTACTGATTGCACGGATCGCCTTTGGGACCGCGCAATAAGCGGGGCAGGCGGGCTGCCACGCACAAATATCTCGATTCTGTGCGCGGCCGGCCTTCGGCCTCCCTTTACCCCGAATACCATCTTCCTGCTACTACTGTTTATCTGCCCTTAGGTGCCTTGATAATATAATATACTGGGATATAGCGTGTTTTGGGATATAAAATACCGGGATGCCGCATGTACTAGGATATACGTACTAGGATACAGTATACACTGGCACATGGGGTCCTAGGTTAGAGGATATACCGGTACATAGAATAGTCCCAGAATTGCCTCCGTCCTAGCAACGCCCGGACCAGGAAGACGTCCGAACAGGAGAGCGAGCGATGGATACGTGTTCCTATTAACAGCTCACTCGGACCTTTCCCGCTCCGCACTGTCTGGAGCCGGGTGTGGTGCCTAACAGCGCGGCCTTGCCTGCGGTAACCGGCTGCGACGCTGGTGGGGCGTTCCAAGAGCCCGGCGATGCCTCCCACCCCGGCGACGTCAAGACTGGAGAGTTACCCGCCAGACATGATCAGGACGGCGAGGAAGATCTCATCGCCGGTAGCAGGGAGGACTCCGAAGCTGCGCGACAGGGCCGTTTGGGACCTGCGGCGTCGTTGGACGTGCAGCTTTCCGGTGGCGGCGACTGTAGCGAGGCTCGCGGTGACGATGGGCTTCGCCTCGCCGGCGGATCCTCCGCCGGCCCGAGGGGCGAGGGCGACGTGGAGCCAGAACGCCTCGTCGAAAAGGTAATCAACAGCTACGGTAACGGAGGACATCTCCGAAGAGGCAGTCCTAGGACAGGGGCAATTCTGGAGGCAGGGAAATCCGGCGTCACGGGGCAGGGAGTAATCCAGAAGTTACATACCGGACTGATTTTACATCTCGTTAAAAAAAAAAATGGACAAGCAAGGCAAATCAATTCCTTCATGGTAAAACAGGAACTTAAAGGAGCTAGAAACGGCTACAGTGGCGGGTTGCAGGCTCGTGCGTGATCACGACGCTGTTGGAGCTGTCGTTCCATCTCGGTTGTACTGTCTGGGCGGCCGCTTTTGGCTCTGGGTAGCGGTTTCTCCTGTGCAACTTCTGTCAAAACCGTTTTGGTCAGGTGGGGTAACAATGCCAGTAAAAAAATCCTACTTTTCAAAACTACTAGGTACCTGGTATTCACAGTGGGACTTCTAGCCACCTCATTTACTGACATAATAATAGCCGTTTGTGGCTGTTACCATGTCAAATATGCATCCCACTTTGTCACTTCCTAACTCACCTTTGTTCCCCACAAATACCTAGGAGGAACACTATGCAAGCCTACCATGACGCGCTTGCCAGACCGGCCGTATCCCTGCATGTCTCATCCGCGACAAGGGCCCACAAAGAAACCCAACCTCTAAAAAAAAAAAAAAAAAGAGCGAGTCGAGTCGGAGGGTTTGGTTTGGAGATGACCGCGGATATGGGCAATTTTCCTCGAATTTAGGCAGCGGCGAATTTTAACATATACGACCTTTATTTCGCTCTAGGTCTTTTCTGCTGCCGTTGGCTTCCCGGCAGGCACCGGCCGCTTCCGCACCGCCTTGTTCGTTTCGAAAAGCGGGCGGATCGGCGTATTAAGTCCGGTTTTTGGAAATGCAAAGCTTCCGATCCGCTCGAAGTCCAGCTGAGAAAGCTGGAGCATGAAATTGGCCATCTGCCTGTAGATGTACTCCGTCCCGCTATCAGTTACGTCATTCCGTACCAATCTCGAAGGCGGCGTGATGTGAGATGGTCCGTGAGGCGCAGCGGGCCCTTGCTAACAGCCAACCCAGTTGGGCCCGTCACATGACAGACGGTCGACTCGAAGTGCTGGCGGGTAAAGCCTGCAGACCGCCGGACCTCTAGACTTACCTTGCGGCGTGCACTCTTGTCCCAAGCCACTGCATCCGTCACCGGCTCGAAAGCCTGGCATCCGGAAGAGCTGGCGGGGTGCATTCTTATTGGGAATGCCACTCACCTCCTTTACTCTGTCTCGGAGGCGGCCCCGGATGTTGAGGCTCTGCCGCATTAGGTACTCGCGCTACGGGCTTGGGGCGATCACAGGAGAAAAAAAAGGATGGGCAGGCAGTGGTCGTGATATCGAGACGCCACTGGGATGTCGCGATCCTTTCAACAAAAGGCGTTTTTTGCAGCCAAGCTTTTAGCCTGCCCCGATACAGTTCGTCTTAATACTCCCACCTTTCCCTGCTCGCGTTCCACTTTCCGTGCAACTGTGTTTCATTCCCTTCAGCTTTCCCTGTTCTAGGTAACTTGTTCCTGCTTTCTTCTTGCTGTGGCGTGCTGGTCCGGCCGCGTGATGACCTTAGAGGAAGGGATCCGACGGGGGACTTTGTGAGCGCCTGGGGCGCTTGGAGTGGGATCCGTGTCGGTGGGTGACGTTGTCCGATGGGAAGCTAGGCGTGAAGCTCGACATGAAGCTGTTCCCAAGCTAAGCCAACCCCTTGCAGCGGCCGTCGTCGCCCCCACCGTACCGCGGTCGCGGTTGTTTTGCTGTTCCATTGGAGATTGGGAGGGTGGGCGCCAAAAGGCGACCGCCCATTGGCCAATGGTATTGGTCAATCAGACGACAAGATGTCGGACTCTTCAGCCCTTGATGCCGGAGAGGGGGCGTCCACAGTTCGAAGGACCCCGCACTATCGTTGCAGCATGTATGAGTGGCTGCTTCCGAATTCCGATCAATAACCGCTGCCCTGGTACAGAACGGACAGGATATCAGCGCTTAGCGTTTCAATGTCTGCTTATCTAAATAGTGCTGTTAGGGAAGACGTGTCCGACGGTTGCTTTCTTGGTCAATTTAACCCAGCCCGCCCGAAGTGCGCGGGACCTTCTTGCGAAGGCATCAAGCTATATAGATCGATCGCCACGTGATTGCGATTGCACTCAGCCATCAAACATAACTGCGCCACTTATCCGCCACAAACCGAGGCCAAGCCAAACTCCTGCATGAGTCACGTAAAGATAGTTATCGGCATGTCACCCATCTCTGCCCTGCAATCGGATCTGGGCTACGACAATGACTCCATAGCATTGTGCGGAACGCGTAGGACGGGTCGGAGACATGTCGCGGACGCGACGATTTCCGTGGGCGCGTTCACAGCCTCATTTTTCCGCGAGTGGCGCGAGATTTCCAGGCCGCCACACCAGCCCCAAACAGGATAAAGCACATCGCGAAATTTGGACGGCTGGAGGGCGGTGGTGCCATTGCGTTTTTGCCATTGCGCTTTTGCCGTGCCACGTCAACTCCTCTTCGCATCTCTGCACAATTTGGCTATCTACCGTTGACATAAGTCGACCCACCCCGAGTTGGGCCACCCCCTGTCTTGGGCCACCCCAAAACAAGCACCGTGGAACCAACGCATCTACTTCCAGGTGAAAAATGAAGCTATTCACAAGCCACAACTATGCAATCCTGGGTATCTTCGGACTCGTCAAAAGATGGAGAATCCGATCCAGGTGCTTCCTCCTTTGCAGATCCACTCCTTGCCCTTCTAACGTCCCTCATTGTAACAAACTTCTGGTTAGGATCTGGATGCACCCTTTTCCTTTTGACAGGCCGCAAACTCCTCCAATTTGTGCCTCCTGCTGCCTGGTTTTGA